ACTTGATTGGAAAAGTCAGAGGGGTTAGAATAGGGAAAATGAGATCCTTTCTAGGTGGAAATATAGCTCAGGCAATGAGAACAGAGAACCTGCAAGGTTAGGTGGAAATGCAAAAAGAAAATGTATCCTCCAAAGACTCTAGTAAGAATCTCGCCAGAAACCAAAGCCAAGTAAACGAACATTCTCACAGACTGTTGGCAGTAGAATGGCCTGTAAGAGTTATCTAGGCATTGTCTTTATGGTACAGATGGAGAAATGGACTTCCAAACAGTGGAAGGGGCTTGCTTTAGGACACATGGGAGTTAGAAGCAAAGCCAAGAATAGAACCTGGATGTACAGTACTGCATGCAGTGTATCAAAAGAGAGGAAGAAGTGAGCTAGGGAAGCCAGCCAATAGGACCACTCACTGGTTATGGTCCTAAAGCTCTGTTCAGGGACAAAAGGGAGACATAAGAGAGTCTGAACATACTTTGAGCCATGCACTTTATTCCTGAGTTGTCTTTTGGAGGAGGCAATTTGCAGTACTAAATGAAATGGTAAAGGCACATGATGTTCCAAGTCAAGTTGACTAAATAAATGGATGGTGATGAATCACCAGGACTACATGGCATCTACCCAGATATGGGGTAAAATTATATAACAACTAACCAATGTGTATAGCCTATCATTCTAAGTAGCATTGTGCCACAAGCCTGACAGACTGGTGATGAGTCTTTTCTCCTCAAGAAGCATTTCAAAGGGGACTCAAGGAATCACAGGCTGGTAGAATCACCAATAAAGTTAGGCAAGTATAACATTTTGGAGGTAAGGCATCATATTCCCTTTCAATAAAATTCACCACCTTTTGCATAGTATGTTACAATTCACAAAGCACTTAGGGCTAACCATGTCTAACAAACTAGAATTCTTTGAGAGGATCAATACGCACATGGAGAAAAGGAAAACCAAGGATATAATCTACATAAATTTTGAAAAGACCCTTGACAAGGCTCCACACAAAGCACTGTATAAAAACTAACTCACCTTGGAATTACAGAGCAGTCTTTTGAAATGAACAGGGGCAAGGCTTGTAGTCAGGCAATCATGAGCTAGAATAAGCACAAAGATTTTTCTGGAGACTTGTGAGCAGGGTTATGTCCCAGAGACCAGTGCTAGGAGGACTAGTTAACATTTTAGTGAATCTAGGTAACCATGAGATTTTTTGAGATATGGGTTGAGAACATCCCTTATTCAAAATGCTTAGGACCAGAAGTGCTTCAGATTTTGGAGTTTTTCAGATTGTAGGATATTTGTGTGGAATTTACAGGTTCACCGTCTCTAATCCCAAAATGTGACTCATTTTGAGAATCATGTTAGCACTCAAAGGGCTTGAATTTCATAGCATTTTGTTTTTCAGGCTTTCAGATTAGGGAAGTTCAAGCTGTAGCAAAACACAAAGCTGACTGTAGTCTTTTTATGACCGTACTGATGAGGAGCAGAGAAACAGACTGAGAAGGCTTGTTCAAGAGCAGTCTCTGAAACCGGACTGCCTGGCTCTCAGTTCTAACTCTGCCTTTAGTGACTGATCTTAGGCAAGTCACCCTACTTCTTCCAGTATGTTTTCTCTTGTTTGAGAAGGCCACTAACCCCACTTCATAGTTAGTGTTGTGAAATCAGAGAGAATGCATGCAAAGTTACGATCTACTGCTTGGATTTTATGTATTTAACATTCTTCTTGTAGGTTGCCAAGATCTGTGTGATAACTTTGTGTCCTATGAAACATGGCAACTACTTTAAAGGATTTCTTGAAAGTATTGGTGGAACTTATTTTAGTCATTTGGAGATTTTTTTACAGCCACTAAGGTGATTGCAAAAGATTTTAGGAGGGCAACTGACAATTACAAAGCACCTAGTATATGCCAGATATGATGCAAGATGCTTTGCAAACTTTTCCCCCCAATATATTCCTGCAATAGACCTATGAAGTTAAGGTTATGAGTCTCATTTGATGGATGAAGAAACAGAGAGTGAGAAATGAGGCTAAGAAACTTTAAGAAACTTGCCCTAAGTCATGTTAGCATATAAGAAATAGCAGCAGAATTCAAATACAGGCTTGCTCTAATCCAAAACTTAGTTTTGTGTCCCTGTATCATACTTGAATTGTACTGTGAGTGACAGGTATGATTTAAGAAGGAAGAAAAGAGGCTTATCTTTGTAGAAGTAAACATGGGAAATGGTATGAAGCTAGAAACCAGAACATTATTTTTGCAGGGTTCATGGTATAGGAACACAACTTAAAAAAAACCAAACTAGAGGATTTCAGGGGCTAGTGGTAGGAAATAAGGTCAAAGGATAGTTAGGGCTAGAGTAAAAGTTTCTCTCAGGACTGCTGAGGATCTGAGCTTTATCCTCAAGGCAGGATGAAGGCAGCTGAGCTAGGGAGAGGTATGAGATGTTTTAGAAAGATTAACCTGGCATCTGTGCATGATGAATTGATGGAATCTTCTGCCTGGGTCTGAGATTCTTTGTTCTCTAATCTGCTAGCCTAAGGCTCTCAATATCCCTACCTTAGCCTTGAAGCCTGAAGACCACTTAGGATTTGATTGCAATAGCACATGCAGGAGGGTGGGAGGAGAGGAAAGGAAAGAAGCAGTGATAGAAGCAGAAAAAGTGACAAAGAATCAGCAGGGATTTGAGGAGCAACTGCATATAAGTGGCAAGGAATAATTAAAGATGACTTTAAGTTAAATCTCAGTGACTCGAGAATCATAGTGGCATTAGAAAGATGGAGATATTAAAGAAGAAACAGTTGAAGATGGTCAGTTTATAAATATGAATTATAACACATAAACTTGGGGATAATGTTAGGAAAGCCAGATAGAAATGATTAGTAACCAAGCAGAGGCATGCATGGTAGTTTAAGAGAGCAGTTGAGACTGGTGGTAATGACTTTATGTCATCCTTACAGAAACAAAATAGATTGTGTATTGTCACATCATACATAATGGCCAAGATGTAGAAACAACCTAAATGTCTATTAAAGGACAAACGGATAAAAAAATACATGGCAATACAAACAATGCATTATTATTCAGAATTAAAAATGAAGGAGCTGGGTATGGTAGTATAATTCTGTAATCCTAGCACACAGGATGGTGTAGGCAAGAGGATTAGCAATTCAAGGTCATCCTCAGGAACACATACAGTTTGAGGCTATCCTGAGACATTTGACTTAAAGGAAAAAAGGGAGGAGGAGGATGAGAAGGAGGAGGAGGTGGGATGGAGGAGGAGGAAGAAATACTGTCATATACTATTCATGGAGTGAGAATATTATGTTAAGAGAATCACAGAAGGATTTGTGCACAATTATACTTTATGCAAGGTATGAAGCAGTCAAGCTCAGAAGCTTCAAAGTACTATAGTGATTTTCCGGGGCTCAGTGGAATAAAGAAGAGGTGCTGTTCAATGGGCATAGTGTTTTAGTTATCCAAAATGGAAAAGTTCTGGAGATCTGCTGTTGACCAAATTGGACATAGTTAACAGTATTGTATAGTACACTAGAAGTTTAAGAGGGAAGATTTCATGTTCATTTTCTTCAATTAAAAATAAATTACAAAAAAATGTGTAAAGAGAGAAAGTGGATAAGGTGCATGCGTGCGTGCATGCGTGTGTGTGTGTGTGTGTGTGTGTGTGTGTGTGTGTGTGTGTTTTCTCTGGTGAAGAAGGAAAAAGACAGAGGCTTAAGAAGAGACCTCTGGCCAGGCGTGGTGGTGCACACCTTTAATCCCAGCACTCGGGAGGCAGAGGCAGGCGGATCTCTGAGTTCAAGGCCAGCCTGGTCTACATAGTGAGTTCCAGGACAGCTAGGGCTACTGGGAGACACTGTATCAAAAAGACCAAAAAAAAAAAATGAAGAAGAGACCTGTGGATGACAACCAGTTTCTGGGTAGGATCAGGAAAAAACCAGCAAGAAAGGAAAAAAGGCTAGAAGAGAAATCTGAACGTGTAGCATTTTAGAGGCCCTGGACAATATAGCTTCAGGCAGAGGCTATGCACTGCAGAGGAAAGAATATGGAATGGTCTTAGGAATACAGTTAGATTTCCAACTCTCCCATTTAAAGAAATTTCATTCATTCTCTGAGCTCCAGTTTTATTATCTACAGAAGAACACCTACCTATATAGAGGACTTTATAAGGTCTGCTATATAACATAAATGTGAGGGGATTTTTGTTCTTTGACTTCTTTACTGACTTTAGCATCCTCCTGTCATTTATTTTTCTACTGTTATTGTTTTTATGCACTTCTAAGTGATATGTCATAGTCTATCTGGGACAGACTGCTTGTGAGAAAACAAAATAGACATGATGTTTGAAGAAGGAAAGGTCAGCAAATAGTTCTTCCTTGAAAGTTATTCTACTGTTGATCTTCCTTCCTTTCTGTTTCTCCCTCCCTTTCTCCCTCTTCTCTTCTCTCTGTCCCTTCCTTCCTTTCTTCCTCCCTCCCTCCGTCCCTCCCTCCTTTCTTTCTTTCTTTCTTTCTTTCTTTCTTTCTTTCTTTCTTTCTTTCTTTCTTTCTTTCTTTCTTTCTTTCTTTCTTTCTGTATTGCTGATTAAATCTAGTGTCTCATGCATGAGAGGCAAGCAGTCTACTATCTAGCTACAACCCCAACCTTCATTGCAGGTTTTCACAAGACTCCTAAGGTAGCATTCCTTTGTATAACGGAGAAGAATCAAGGATGAATCCAGTGAGAGAACAGAGCCAATTGATTATGTCAATTCATTTTTAGACAATGAAAAACAAAATACTTTTCTGATCTACCCAGGGCCAGAGATGGGGTGGGTGGTGGGTGGAACACACATGAAAGCTTCATTTTTTGAGACTGTCATCTTTTCTGAAAGAGTTCATGGCACTATGTGCTGTAGAGGTTTTAGTAGAGGTATAGAAAGCAGATAACAATTGATTTGTCAGTTCCCGAGCATCACTGTTTTCAGCCCAGCTTTAAGCTAGCATGATTGCTTACCTGCAAGGAAGCGGAGCTGATTCTTCACTTTCATCATTCCATCACCAGATCCTCCAATGCACTCATCTTCATCGTCACCACAGTCTCCACTTTCAAATCCTTCCTCATCCAGGGTTTTTTCTAGGACCTTACCTTTGGGCACAGACATGGTTCTCAGGAGCTGAAAAAAAAAGACATGTAGCTGTTCTTCTTTTTCAGGTAGGTTTAGAACAGTGTATTACTACCAAGAGGTACTGTAAATATCACACAGCTTTTGAAATAGTTTTACTTCGTAATGATAGCATGTACCTATAGTCTGACCTATAAGGAGGTTGAAGCAGGAAAATTGCTTGAGTCCAGGAGTTCAAGACCAGTTTAGGTAACACAGCAAGACTCTATTTTTAAAAACATTTTATTATGTTTATTTTATGTGTATGAGGGTATTGCCTGCAATGAATGTGAGTGCACCCGTGCCATGCAATGCCGCGGAGGTCAGAAGAGGGCTTCGGATTATTCCCCAGGAACTGGAGTTAAGGATGGTTCATAGCCACCATGTGGATTCTGGGAATTCAACCCGGGTCCTCTGTAAGAGCAGTCAGTGTTCTTATCTGCTAAGCCATCTCTTCAGCCCTGCAAGACTCTATTTTTTAAAAAATCATTTTTTGCTGGAAGGGTGCAGTCTATCATGGAAGGGAAGTCATGGTGGCAGGAGCATGAGGCAACTGGTCTCATTGCATCCACAGTCAAGACGCAGAGAGCAATACAATATCCTCAGCTTGCCTTCTCCTTTTTATTCAGTCTGGAACTTCAACCCATGGAGTGAGGGTGGGTCTTCCCACTTCAACTAACCTAATCTGGAAAATCCTTCTCAGGCATGCCCAGAGGCTTTTCTGCAGGGTCATTCTAAATCTTGTCAAGGCCAGCCTGGTTTACAAAGTGAGTTCTAGGCCAGCTGGGGCTACAAAGAGACCCCATCTTTAAAAAAAATTTTTTTTCAAGTTGGGTGTGGTGGCACATGCCTTTAATTCCAACACTTGGGAGGCAGAGGCTGGCAGATCTCTGTGAGTTCGAGGCCAGCCTGGTCTACAAAGCTAGTTCCAGGTCAGCTTGGGCTACAGGGAGACACTGTCTCAAAAAGACCGAAAAAATCATTTTCAAATTTAACTAAGTGTAAATTGCTTATACTTTTAAAAGCTTCATACATTGAACCATTTCATGGAATTTAACATGATTCTCCACTCTTTTATACTACTTAAATCACACTGTAGCCATAGTATAAATTGCATTTGAATTCCCCATACTATGGTATTTAGGTTTGTGACAGTCTCTATGGTAGGAGAACACATTGATAGAGAATTTAAGACTTGACAGATAAAGCACATGGATGGGATAGGAGGATATCAAAATCAGAACAAATTCCCATGAAAGCATCCTAACATGACATTTACATCCATTACATTAAAACAACTGATTCTCATGGAAAGAAGACATTCATTTCAGACTCTGAAATGAATGATGTTCTCTTAGATTGAGTACTTATAACTGTCACATCCCATGTTTTGTTCACTAGTAAAAACTCCTAAATATTTCCTTCTCCCACAATTTCAGTAAGATGTTTTTAAATTATTTTGCTTTATTACAGATAACATGCTTACTAAGAGTCATGTTTTAATTTTCAGTGCCTGGCTTTTCAGTCACATGGCCTGGTTTTATGGGCCTCCTATCACTCCAAAGTCTTTCCACCAACACAGAAATATAAGCCTATAGCATGAATGGTCCTTGAGTGAGTTATCAGAATCTATTTTGTTTTCCTTACATTCTCTCTATAAGACTTCATGTTGTTATCCTCAATTTCTGCTCTAACTTCTGTCTCATCATCCATTTCAAGTCCTTTCAGTCCCACCCTTATTTTTCCCAACCATAGCTGTATTAGTTCATCTTGACTGTTAACTTGACAGGATTTAGAATGACCATGCAGAAAAGCCTCTGGGCATGCCTGAGAAGGATTTTCCAGATTAGGTTAGTTGAAGTGGGAAGACCCACCCTCACTCCATGGGTTGAAGTTCCAAACTGAATAAAAAGGAGAAGGCAAGCTGAGGATATTTTATTGCTCTCTGCGTCTTGACTGTGGATGCAATGAGACCAGTTGCCTCATGCTCCTGCCACCATAACTTCCCTGCCATGATGGACTGCACCTTCAGATTGTAAGCCCAAACAAACCCTTCCTTCTTTAAGTTGTTTTTGTCAGGTAGTTTGTCACAGCAGCAAGACAAGAACTAATAAAGCAGCCAACAAAAGCTGCTGGATATATAAAAAGTGATGTCCTTGTGATTGTGAAAGATGTAAGAGTGCTGAATACACAAGCATGCTTTGGTGGCTCTGGTTTCTATTATCTGTGTGTCCCTGAAGACTATTAGGCTTTCCATCTGGAATTTAGTTGCTATACCAAGATCTACTTAGAAAAAGCTATATGCCGTAGAGAAATGTCACCCTGCAGGTGATTTTATTTGTAACTAAAGAGAGGAAAAAGTCTGAGTCTTTTCTGTCTCACAATCTCTGATGGTGTTGGAGATGTCACCCCATGTACAGGATCCCACTCTAGCACCGTCTCTACCCTCCCATTCTAGTGCTTCCTTCTCTAAACCTATTTTCTCCTCTACCTGTCATCCTATATATCTAAATTTATAGTCTATTAATATAGGCTAAGGTCAGTTACACACATGGCTCTCAGACATCTTGAGCTTAGGATTCCTTTATTTTATTTTATGTTTGGTACTGGGAATCAAATCCAGGGGTGTCTCATACAGACTGAATAGAGATTATATCACTGAACCAGATCGCAAAGTCTCAGGACTCCTCTATATTTTTACTTAGACACCGTGAGAGATTTTTGTTTAAACAAATTTTGTTAATCAACTTTTATCATCTTAGAAATTATAACTGAGGATTAAAAAAAATAATTGGTAGCTCATTTAAAGGTAACAATAAAACCATGATGTATTTATTAACATAAACTTTATTAGGTGAAAAAGAAACACTATTTTTCTGACATAAACCTATTAATGGGAGTGGGATTGTTTTATATTTCGGTGAATCTCTTTACTGTATGGCTTAATGCAAGATAGTTGGATCAACATACCTGATTCTCCACTAAGTTTGCTGTGACACACTGTTTTGGATGAAACATTCACAGAAAATCCAGACCCCCATAAACACAAAGTTGGAAAAGAGAGATGTATATTAGATTATATATTAGTAGAGAGATGTACATGAATTTTCAGAATATTATAGATTGATTTCTCTCTCTGTCTCTCTATCTCTCTGTCTCTCTGTCTGTCTGTCTCTCTCTCTCTCTCTCTCTCTCTCTCTATGATTTTTCACAATATTATTGTTTTTTTTCTCTCTCTCTCTCTCTCTCTCTCTCTCTCTCTCTGTCTCTCTCTCTCTCTCTCTCTCTCTCTCTCTCTCTCTCTCTCTCTCTCACACACACACACACACACACACACACAGAGCCCTCAATAAGTAGCTGCAATGTGGAATATGAAACCATATAAATGAATATTTGAGCCCTGTTACATTAAAATCCACTGATACGTTTTGAACTTCGAGTGAGCCTTTTGCTCATTCTTTATCACCATATATGGATCACATGGAAAATATTGGCTTACTGAGCTATACAAGTCCTCCAAATTTTGACATCTCCAAATGTGAAAAACTCTGTTCACTAATATTTCTAATCTCATCAGAATAGTCTTTAAGTGTTGGGAAGGGCCAAAGCTCCTGGTGACAGGTAAAAGTTTGTCAAATGTTTAGTTTTCTCTTGAAAGTTAGAATTTTATCATTGGCAATAAATGTTACCAGTTGTTTTCCTTGAGCTGACAGCCTCTGTTTGTTCCTTTCCAAGAAAATGATGTGACAGTACTTGAGTCTGTATAGTCATAGTTTGCCGGTCATTCTCCCAAATACAAATGAAAAAGAAGGGTCAAGTCTAGTTCACAGATCAGATAATCTCACAGGGGTTTTTCCTTGAGATAGCCATTGACATATAGTTTGCAGTATAAATACTTTGTATAATTCCCATTCCGTAACACCAAATATTAGGAAATTGTACTCAAGGGTTCAGGTTTAATAAAATAAGTAATTTTCACAGCTTAGCAATGATATTCTTAGGTGCTTGTCACTTATTTTCCCACAAACATATAGTAGTGACAATTACAGTGACTACTACTGCATTTTAGTGTCACTGTGTTGATTTATACAGTGGTGCTAACAGTGCAGTAATCAATGTTTTGACAAATATCAACACAGTAAAATGACAAACAACTTTTTTTTTTGGTCTTTTTGAGACGGGGTCTCCTTGTAGCCCCAGCTGTCCTGGAACTCACTATGTAGACCAGGCTGGCCTTGAACTCACAGAGATCCACTGCCTCTGCATCCTGGGTGCTGGGATTAAAGGCATGCGCCACCACGCCCAGCAGACAAACAACTTTTTAGTATTGTTGTGAAAGTAGTTTTGAGCTTGGGGCTCTCTGAGTTTTATGGACTCCCAGAGTCCATAAACCATTCTTTGAGAACTGCAAGTCCAGGCTCTAACAAACTATTTTAAGGAGAGAGCCACAATCTCTCCTTAACCATTATTTCTTATAGGAAAATTGTTTTTGACTTAAGCATTTTATGTTAATTTCCAAGAATGCATCCTTTAAGGCTGGAGAGATAACTCACTGGTTAAAGAGGTTAAGTGGACTGGCTGCTCTTACGGAGGACCTAGGTTCAGTTCACAGCACCCACATGGCATCTCGCAACCATCTGTAACTCCATTTCTAAGGGATCCAATTCCCTCTTCTGGCCTCTACAGCCATTACACACATGGTGCACTTATATACCATACAGGCAAAAACACTCATAAAAATAAAAATAAATAAATTTTAAAAAATTGAAAATACTCCCTTTGTGTATGGTCATAGACTGGATTAGATTTTTTCACATAAGAAGATTTTGTATTTAGGTAGATTAGGAAACTTGCTATTTTTCAAGCTAAATTCAGACTTGAGCTTTTTTATTAATACCTTCAATAAATATTAACTGAGAATATACTCTGAGCTGGTGCTCATTTCTGTCTATTGAAAGACTTCCATACTTTCAAGCCAAGTTCAGGTGTCATGTCCTTAATCAAAATCTTCT